GAAATGGTACAAAATTACCCTTTATCCATCTATTAGCCCTAAAATTCCCTTGTTGTCTACCTTTAGGTCCTATATTGCCCTTTATTTTTAACGGTCCCAATTTAAACCCAATTAATAAATTCATTAATGACGTGACAATTTTCTATTGGTCAGATTTTAAATAACTTAAATTAATTTAAAAACCCACCCATTCCCAAATTAGACCCGCCCCAAATTCATTTAACCCATCTTTTATCATAGTCTTCCTCACAGCAAAATGGCAAATCATAGAGCATAAAAGATACAACCTTTTCTTTTTCTTATTTTCTTCCCACCTACATTCTTTGAAAAAGAAATAAAACCTAGATAATTTACATAAAGGAGATTATGATATTTCTTGAGCAAATTTTTGAGTAGAATCTATCTAATGAATCCAAAATAAAGTAATCCAAAAGATTTGGTTTAATTCTCATCAAATGTAAGTGGGCAATGGTGATGAGAATTTCGTGTCATTGACTGAATTTGATTTTCTGTTTATTTATGCAATCGTTGCCAAAAAATACAGAATACATACCACTTTCTTAGACTTCCAAAACAAGTAACTAAGATCTAAGCAATGTGCTTAATTAAATAGCTAGAGATAAACAACAAAACTATACAACAATATTGTTATCTGAAAAAGCTAAAACCGATTTTGGATTACTTTACTTTATCTAGGTTTTATTTCTTTTTCAAAGAATTTATGTGGGATGAAAATAAGAAAAAGAAAAGGTTGTAGCTTTTATGCTCTATGATTTGCCATTTTGCTGTGAGGAAGACGATGATAAAAGATGGGTTAAATGAATTTGGGGCGGGTCTAATTTGGGAATGGGTGGGTTTTTAAATTAATTTAGGTTATTTAAAATTTGACCAATAGAAAATTGTCACGTCATTAATGAATTTATTAATTGAGTTTAAATTGGGACCGTTAAAAATAAAGGGCAATATAGGACCTAAAGGTAGGCAACAAGGGTATTTTAGGGCTAATAGATGGATAGAGGGTAATTTTATACCATTTCTAATAGTTCTAGGATATTTTAGGCCCTTTTCCATTTTTTAATTACCACATGAAATTAGTCCTACAAGTTAATTAATTATGATCCGACAAATTAGATACTTTCCTCAAAGCAAAATTAACCAAAAAGCCTAATTACTTCAAAGAAGTCATTATGTTGTTTGATGAACTCTTTTTTAAGATAATGTTGGAGAGGCTGTTTTTATATCCCTAAATTGGGACATTAAACTTTGTGATGTACTATCAATCACTTCCATATGACACGTGTCGATGAGTAGTAAGGGCTACTCATTGATCCAAAATACTTACGTGTCGATTTATTATATACTTAATTTTAAAATGTCCCCCACTCCCCTACCATTCCAATTTATAGTTAAATAGTTAAGATTTTCATGAAAAGAATAAAATATAAAAATTATTCTTTCTCTGTTTTATTTTATGTGGCACCGTTTAATTTAGCATAATATTTAAGAAGAGAAACCCCCCTCTGCCTGCATCTCTGCTCTAAAGACTCCGCCTGCTTCACACCTTTTATGGGGAAATACTTTCGCACGAGTACTAATTTGATTAGCATAAATGAACCTCTTCTGAGCCCTTGAAATTTTACATAAGAAGATTTTTTAAACTTGTGGTCTAAAATAATTCTTAGAATATTTTATGTTGTTTTAAATCATTTTATTATGACTAAAAGAAAAATTTTAAAATTAAATTATTTCTAATTATTGTAAAATGACATTCTTTTTGGACAAATTAAAAAGGAAAAGATACGTTTAAAATGGGATGAAGAAAGTATACAAAGAAAAAATTGAAGGAATTTAATATATAGAATATTTTAATTTATATCCATGACTTAGAATTTTTCGGTAAAAGGTTTCAATTGGTAACTATTTCCAGGGTTTATGTGAAATATATTTGTTTTAATTTATAATTATTAAATTTTATATTTTTAAATCTAGTAAAGATCTTCTTATAACTGTACAAATAATTGAAATTTTTCTTGAACTTGAACAAATAAATAGCCGTAAATAGCATTTTTCTAGGCTTTATCACAATTCACATAATTAAGTCGGAAAATTCAGAAGCTTTATAGCCGTATCAAGGGTTTGTTTGAGTGGATTTATAAAAAATAATTTATAAATTCAAAACTAAAAGTTACTATAAGTAGACGATATTTTACTTTTGATTTATTTTTCATTTTTTTGGCTTAAAAGTGAGTGCTTTAAATCACTTTTAACCTTTTCAAACACCTTTAAATTACAAAAAATGCTTAAAAATCAAAAGCATCTTAAAAACAAGCTAATCATGTTTGGACCAAAATAATTAGGTGTCATGCTGAAGCTAGCAAAACAAATCTCGAGAGACCACGAGTAAGAAGACAAATGAGAAATATGTCATATGACACAAAGATTTAACGTGGTTCGGTCAATCGACCTACGTCTTCAAAGGAGATGAGCAATCTACTGTATAAATATGAGAGTACAAAATATAGAGAGAAAGAATATCACCCAATTCACTAGAATACAAAGAGGTTCACGTATCACTTGTGTCCCACAAACTCTCTTCCCTAACAAAAACTCTTAAAGTCTCTAGAACTACATTGTGAATGTTGATTACGTTAGAAGGAACGAGCGTTTGTTTATGGAGTCTTAAGCTTTTTCTTACGAGAAAGGATTAGTCAAATATGAATACTTTATGTTTTCCTTGTAGAAAAAAACATATTTATATTAAGAAACTCATGACAAATATCCAACAAATCCAAACAGGTACTAAAGATTCCTTATCAACTCTTTTTTTTTTACCACTAGATAGTGTCTAGCGGTCTTTTATTAAACATAAAAAATATCAATAGGGACAAGTACAAGCAAGGGGGGCTAGGCCTTACCTTACTAATCCTAATGAAGTACCTAACTTCTGCTACCTAACCAGCATGAAGAAAATAAGAGCGAGAGAAAACTAAGTATATGATGATATTACAAATGAGGATGCTTAAATAATGTAAAAATATGTCAATCAAGAAGCAAGTTGAGTTACCAGCCTCAAACTTTCTATTACTAAAGCATGAATTAAAAAAGATTGATGCCCATCAAAAGTAACTTGAACTATTTTTCTCTTGTTTTCTTCTTCAAACCTTTCCAACAACACTTGATGATTCATACCTTCTTTATGGATTTATTGGATCTAGTTGAACCTATTGATACTGTCAAATGATTTTGCTTTTCCTGTCGCATCGGTAGGTGCCTTGGAACAAACTCCTCAGTCATTTTACCGTCCCAACTATGTTGCCTTCCATATGTCTTCTTTTTGCTTTTGTTGCTTCCACTTCTTTGTTGCCTAGGTGATATATCCCCTTCCCTAGCCACTATATCAAAGCATATGTCCAACATATTGTCTTCCTCATCCTCATCAAGAAAATCCTCGTCCAAATCAATTGTATTTGACACTAAGGTCCTTGACTCATTCTTCTTTTTCAAGCACACATTTAGGCACAAATACGAGAGCTTCTGGACTTAATTTTCTAATAAAAGTAGGTGGTCATGAGACCTGCTTTTCTTGGATCAAATCGATGTCATTCTCTTTTAACTATATTTGACACTAAGACACTTTATTCCTTATCAACTCAGTCTAGACCAATACCTTTTAAATTTGTTAGTTATCGCTATAAGCACTTTATTCAATTTATGTCATTTTCTTTAGTTATATCGCTATAAGTACTTTATTCAAATTATGTTATTTTCTTTAGTTATATCACACTTATATGTATTCATTTTTTAGATTGTTATGTTAAACAAATGTAAAATATATAATTTTATTTTCATTATACGCCAATTCCAGTTCTATTCGAAGTTGATATGTATAATTAAAGGAGATGTCATATTTCATGTGGTTAACTAAATTATCTAATAGACAAATAATAACACGCTCATAAAGTTTTTGCGAACTTTGAATTGAAATTATCTAAGCAAAATACTTAAATAGAAATCAAGTATATTTAATATTGAAAAAATGAAGGTTTGTCGTGTCTATCAACGAATTTCATTCCTAGGGCATGTCAAGTGCTAATCCTTACGAATAATCCGACCAAAAACATCATCTCTTTTTTTTTTTTGGTAATGATTTTAATAATTCAAAGATGCTTAATTGGTGAATTCTCCATCAAACAATAAAAACAAGCTCAAGCATAGTATTTAGGCCACAAAAGTATATAAAAATTAATGCGTTGATATACAATTCAATATAACGAACATTTTAGTTAGTACCAATAATTATTGTGAGATAGAATATCCTTTTTTTAATCCGTCATGGTGAACTCGCTCAAATTCTAAACTGAACTAAAAATATCATATGCTAAAGATCGTTTAGTTTAGAGACTTAGAGTCCTCGGCTCTCGATCTTTAAGGTATAATATTTAGAATGGTGTTGAAAATAGAATAAATTCAACAACAAATCGCGAAATCTTGATGCTTTTTTCTTTTAAAAAATAAAACAAGAAGCTTTTGCCTTTCAGCAACGCTCTTAGAATCTAAGCCTTTTCAAGTTTTAAAGTGTCAATAATATGTCCGCCTAATAATTTTACCCAAAATATTTTTTTAAGAAAACCATGATTAGTTAAAAAAAAAAATACATGAGCAACCTATCATGAGGTAAGGTCAGACGAGATGAAGTTGCTCGGATGGTAGGCACCCCTCACTTCCAACCCGAAGGTTGCGAGTTTGAGTCACCAAGGGAGCAAAAGGGGTGGGAGCTCCTAGGGAGGGATAATTTATTTTATTTTTATTTTTTAAAAAAAAGGTAAGGTCAAATTACATTAAACCTTGGTTTACAAGGAAAAAAAAGTTTAGTACTACATAATTAAGATATTACGTCAAGATTGGCCATGATGAGGTCATGACATAATTCGAGGGTCGAATAAATTAAAATTACATGTGTATATATATAATATGGTGCGTTTATTCAATTTCTTAGGTAAAATAAAAGGAAGGGGAAAAAGAACAATACTCCATTAAATTATCTATCATTTGAAGAATGGGGAGAGGGAAAGTGGAATTGAAGAGAATAGAGAATCAAACAAACAGGCAAGTTACCTTCTCCAAGAGAAGAAATGGTTTACTTAAAAAAGCTTATGAACTCTCTATTCTATGTGATGCTGAAGTTGCCCTTCTTCTTTTCTCTCCTTCCGGCAAAGCTTACAATTTCGCGAGTCATGAGTAAGTCGTCTCACACTCTTTGTACTAATTTTTATTAGGACAAGTTCTGTGAGTTCAGTTATATATACTCGTGGTGCTCGATTATATTTGTTTATGACACAATCATGAGATTAATGGTTTTTTTTAAAAAATTAATGGATCGATGTAGCATCGAAAGGACTATTTTAAGGTACAAGAATGAAGTTGGATTGTCCAAAAATAGCGACCAAGGCCTCAGAGCTATGGAGGTAATTAATTACTTTAATTTCCTCTTAACGAATTACTCAAATATGTCATCAAACTTTGAGAAAAAGTTTATCAATGTCATCCGTTAGAAGTTTGACTCATCTATGTCATTTTCGTTTGAGAAAAATGCTATGTCATTATATGTTAACTGAAATAGCATAAATATTGAGTCAAACTTTTATGGATGATATAGATGAGCCTTTTTTAAAGTTCGATAACATATTTGAGTCTTTTTCCTGATAAAAAAATGATTTAATTAATGATGTGGCCGAATCATAATTGACCATGTGTAAAAAATTAATTTTACAAAATCGAAACTATTTTCAGTTAATAAATAATAGCATGGAGCCTTTTCTCAAACGAAAATGGCTGATGAGTAAACTTTTAATGAATGATTAAATTGATCTTTTCTAAAAAGTTTCATGACATATTTGAGTCTTCTCTAAAAATTAATAAACTTCTGATAAGAGCCAGGGTAACTTTTTTTTTTTCTAACTAAATATGTAGTTTGGTTAATTCTGATGAGTATTAATTAATTCTTCTCATGGATTAGGTTTGGAGAACAAAGATTGATGATATGACAAGAACAATACATGAACTTGAAGCCAGAGATAAGTACGTAATTATGATCTCTGTTTAATTTTCTTATATTACTCTTGTTTAAAAATATTTTGAGTGGAGTAATGAAACAAATTTAGGACATGGATAATTATCACTATAATAAATAAAGAATTTTGTTGTAATTACTTAACAATAATAAAATAGTTGGTGATATATTATATTTAACAATAATAATAAGTATGAGTATTTTATAACTTGCACTTTTATTTTACCAACTGTGAAGTTAATAGTATTAACTTAATTACCACTAAATATCATCTTTGTTGTAGTATACAAATCTGAACGATTCGATCATCTAATTTGCAAAATATGTACAAAGTTTATATATATTGTGCATATACTTTATAATAAATATACTTATACACGGATAATATATATGTTTTATATATAAACTAGTTGGTTGAACGGTATATATCTATAACTTTATATATTTTGGGCAGGCATTTGGCTGGAGAAGAGTTATCAAGTCTTGGCATGAAAGAATTGAAGCAATTGGAGCGTCAACTCAGAATTGGGGTTGAACGCATTCGATCTAAAAAGGTTATAATTAAGTTATATATTTACAATAAAAACTTAATTATATACATATAATTTTTTTTAATTTTAATTGATTTCCACCAAATATTATTCTTGATATATAATTAAGAACTAAATCTAATTATAGTTTATTTACTCTCATGTAACAGAGACGTATCATTTCCGAACATATTCACGGGCTTAAGAGAAGGGTGAGACTCTAATTAATGAGGAAAACAATTTTTAAAATTTAATTTTACAAAAAGAATAAATTAATTTGGAATTTCTTATGCAAATTATGTGGGTTATTAATATTTTGTATTGGTTGAGAGAGAGATTTTTTAAGTTCCTAATTATTGTAATTTATAGTTATTAGTTAATTTGGAATTTCTTATGCAAATTATGTGGGTTAATTAATATTTTGTATTGGTTGATGCTTGTTTATTAATAGTTTATTGGAGTTTTAATTTTCTATTAGGGTGTGTTTGGTTTTGGTATGAAGGAAAATATTTTTTCTAGAAAATAATTGTTTGATAAACAACGAGTTTCTTACTTATGTTTAGGGGTTGATAAGGAATTAAAAAAATAATACACCAAGAACATTTATGTGTAAGTTAATGTAATATTATGAAGGTGAGATAAGATGAAGAGTGGAGGTTCGGCGTGGAATGATCAAGGGATATGGGAATCTGAGACGTTGACTGAATTGAAAGAAGACAATGAACTTAATTTTTTCTCGAAAAAATATGTTCCTCCCTATCAAAGACACCCATAGAAATAGCTAAGCATATATACAACTAATTAATTAAAAGACCAATGCAAAATGTTAATGATTTAGAAAGTTAAGAGAAAGTGAAAAACACATTAATGTAATCTAAAAAGAAAGTAATTAACTATACATTTTCATTAATGAGCTTAATTGTGTATTCATCTTACTTATGCAGCATAAAATCCTTCATGAGGAGAACATCCATCTTCAAAAGCAAGTGAGTGTGCTTATATGTATTTCCATATTTTTCTCATTATTTCAATAGTCTAGTCTCGAGCTATATGTTAATCATTTGACCACAGAGCATCACGTTAATTTGGAAGCAACTGTATAATACTAACATTTTATAAACTTGAAGAGGAAGAGATGTAAATATGCCTCACTTATTTCATTATGACATTTTTTATATTTTTAAATTTTGTTTAAATTTAAAATATTCAGTACTCTCAAATTTTAAAAAGAAACTAACTCTTATTTTTCCAATAATATTTTTCTAATGTACTATAGAAAAGTTGGAAAAAACAAAGTCACATACTCACATTAAGTGCGAAGCTACATTTGTTGAATATTAATTTGATTAGTTAAACACCTATACTAAACTTAACTGTTTGATACCTTTATAGTTAATTTTACACAATTATTTATTTCACAATGCAGGTAAGGTTGTCTGAAATAGAAGGGAGTTCAAGGATTCTTGATTCAGAAGCAAGTGAGTTACTTTCTAAGGTAAACTAATTTAATAAGTCTATGAATATCTTTTATTAATTATATGTATTATTCATGTTTTATCAATTTGATTATTCTAACACTTCCCTTTTTTCTTTTGTCTCTTTTTTGCTTTCTTTCTGGTTGTGTAGGGACGAAGAATAATATATGATTTATAGATTTTCAATTATATGGTCGTGTAATTAAAGAGCCTACCTTAAGTGAACGTATACTTAGTATATATTATAAAATAGTGTGTACGGTATATTTAAGATGACAATCTTTTCGTGTTGTTTGAATGTACTTATTTATTGTCTAGAATTTTTATTCCAAGTCAATGTTGAATTAAGAAAAGGGAAAAAAAATGTACTATGTTAATATTATAATTTGAATTAGAAATTTTTTGTCCAATTCTAAGCAGCTTTTAATTACATGATATGCATCTGATTATATATTTATAATCTATATATGAAATATTGTATAGTTTGGTTTTGTGGTATATTGCAAAAAGAAATTGATATTATTTTCCATTTTCTTTTAACCCTTTACCATTATATTGATGGATTGAAAAGGGAAATTGGGGAAAGCGTGTAATAGACATTAAAAAAAAAATAAAAATTGTAGATGAAAAAGTAAGTTATAAATAGGCAACAGATTGATCAATAAATAAATTATTATTCAATTTTTTTCAGAAGTTTGCATGGGCTAAGATAGATTATGTCAAGACAAAAAATAATGAGTTATAATTCAATTCGTCAAACTTAAAGAACTTTTTGCTTCTTTCTATTTGAAGATGTATAATTGCAAGAACACACCAAATTAAATCTCAAATACTCATCAAAAGGACTACTTTGGCTCTGGTACTTTAGTGTTCTTTCCTTTTATGATATTTCTGTGAAACTGAATGTTTTTAGTTTAATTTTCTTTTTTTAAAAAAAGGGACTAACATATCCTCAATAAGTTGAGTGGTGTATAAATGGTAAAAAGACGTTGATAAGTGAAAAATTAAAATCAATGTTAAGTGAGTATGACATTATATGCAACCTAGTTATCATATTGAATTATTCATATCAAATTGTCGCGGTTTTATATAATTTTAAAGCTACAAAGAGGGGAAACTACATTTCAGATCTGTAGCATACAAATTATATCAAAACAATATGACTTCAAACTATATTCGACCAGACTATTTTCTTAGACAAATCACAAATCATACTAGATCTTTATGGTTTCAACCTTTCAATTATATTAGACACCTAGTCTAAATTTAATTTACTTGTTTTTTTTTGCACCTCTCTTTTATTTATTTCGTTTACTATTTATATCTTTCTCCCTTGTCTAATTCATGTTACTCATAGTACCCTATCTTTGGGACAATGGTATATAAGTCATGATAAACTGATATAACTTTATGTTATATTCAATCTTACCGTTTGATCAAATAATTACAAAATTATAATTATTAAATCTTCATGATTTTTAAATCACAAATAAAAAAGTACTGTACATGGTATGAAAGTTTAGCTAAACAAGTATTACTTCAACTTATATTTAACTTTGTTGCATTGCCAAAGTTCAAAAGTAATTTTGTTTAGAATATATCAATAATTAAGGATCAAAAGTGCTATTATCCCTTAAATAAAGGCGCATAGACTATAATTATGAAATGTTTTAGGGGCTCATACAACTATCAGAAACGTATTGGCGCCAAAATGTAATTATTTCTTCTTTTTGGACTAAAAATTCTATTTCATGCTTTTCCTCAAGCACCCCTAGAAGAAATCGAAAAATACGTTCAAGTCCACGATCCTATTGAATCATTTCATTTCACCTCCATTTGTGAGCTCGCAAAAATCCCTTTCTCTATCTCACACGCACAGAAGCCGCTTCAAAATCTGCAATGGCGACACTAGGTAGATTATCGAGAAGAGTAATAGCAACAACTCTCTCCGGTCACCTCCGCCACCACCAGAGTCACAATCTCATCCGCCGCACGCTGGCGACGGAAGCTCAGGCGGCAATAAATGAATCGCCGGATCGAGTGAAGTGGGACTATAGAGGGCAGAGGAGGATCATTCCACTAGGTCAGTGGGCACCGAAAATCGCCGTCGATGCCTACGTGGCGCCGAATGTTGTCCTTGCTGGTCAGGTGACTGTCTGTGACAGCGCTTCTGTATGGAACGGAGCAGTCCTAAGAGGAGATCTAAATAAGATTACAGTAGGGTTCTGCTCTAGCATTCAGGAAAAATGTGTGGTTCACGCTGCTTGGTCTTCTCCTACAGGTGATTAGTTCATTTTCCTCGCTTGACTTAAGTACATTTGTGCTGTTTGTTGATAAGATTTGAGTATATTTCATCACAATGAGCTTATTGTGCACTATTAGCTTAGCTGATTTAAATGATGTTTTGATTTTAATTTATTTATGTCAAGGGAATTTCGGCAATTCATTGCTTAGGTGAATCAGTTGGATATTGATAGGGATAACATGATTTGTGAATGAAACGGGTAGTATGTTAAGGTACTATGACTGTGTTGCTGAGAACAAAATTGTATTTAGAAGGATTATGGAACTTAGTGAAGATTGTAGCCTTTGAGTCTAAATGATGTTTCATGTTCCAAAGTCAAATGACTACATCAACTCAAGAAATCTGGAAATCTTGTTGAATGTTCACTGATTAGAACCTTACATTTAACATGATATATATTTCTGTCGGAAGCTTTTAAACACGTAGAAAGCTTGTAAGTCAAGTGACCATTGAATCATGGTTTAGGTAATTGGTTCAATTAAGGATAGTCCCTTTTGGGACATCTGATAAAATTGGAACAAATTGGTTCTGTTAGGGATAGGTGTTGAATTTTTATTATCTATCTCGTCTTTACCATAAAAGAGGGGCACTTACGTGAAGTAAAAAAATGTCTAGACAACACAACTGAAATTTTTAATGCATAAAAAACATAGTGTAGATCTCCAAGGTATGCTAACTGCAGCAAGACAACATAAGCCTTAATACCCAATGTTTTAAAGAGGAACTGAAACTTTTCAAGGTTTGGGGCTTTAAGCAAGAAGCAAAATGACAGGTTATTGAAGTGATGTAGTTTCCAAATGGGAGGACGAAGGGAAGAAGGTTATTGCAGCAAAGCTCTACAGGAAATGCAATTTCAAAGCTCTAGAAAATGGAAACGGGCTCTAGTGCAATGCTACTTATAAGCCGTAGCATAGAAGTAGGAGTGAAGGATAATGTCATTGCAGTAGAGCTGTAGAGGAATTGCAACTTCAAATCATTAAGAAGAGGATGGGGAGAGTGGTAAAATTCAGTCAGATTTTTTATTTCCTTGTGTTTCTGTCACAAATGCAAGACAACAAAGAAGTACACATCTCTTGCTCCGACGTTTTATTGCTTCAGACTAAAAGCAGTTCAATTCTCACTTCCACACTCAGAATCAAGGGGGCCTTGACTTGAATATAAGCTCAACTTTCTTAGTGATTTACAGTGTTCAGCAGAAAAATCTTCAGGAAAATAAGGAAAGCTATTAATAAGAATTATTAATTGCTTGTTACTTTTCTCCAGATTGTCATTTTACTAGTGTGCAGTGAGTGAGTCATTGTGAATAGATATATGGAAGTACAGGAAGTGAGTAAATAAGTAAGTGAAGTGTTTAAGCAAGAATGCAATCTTAATTGTGGAACTAATATGCTCTTGAAAGATTGTTTGTCAAATATATTCTACAATGTTAGGTTATTTTGACAAAAAATATGGTTGGTAATTAGGATCTTTTAGTTTACACCTATACACATGTTTGTATTGATGATAACAGTAAGCATCGTTAACATATTTTTACCTTGGAAGAATTGGCTTAATTAGCTTGTCAAATCCCAGTTGCCTGCCCAAGGGCTTCAATATAAGGAATTTGTATAATTTGTGAAGCTCAGATGGAAACTTTAGAAAGAACTCTGCATAGTGTCCTAAGAGTTCCGGAAGTCAATGGTTAATTACACAAATTTCCACTCAGGTTTTATCCTGGTACCTATAGTCACATGCGAGTTGCGACCTTAAACATTGCACAGACCTCTCTCTTTTTGGGGTTCTGTCTATCAACAATGTTTCAATCCTCAAGCATACATATTTTCCCATTGAAGTACTTTTATTTTGTGAAACAAAAACACATCTTCATATTTGTTTTGCTTATGAATTTCATCCTTCCATGACATTTATCTCTTCAAAATGAATCCATTACTCTATAAAAAGAAAAGAAAATTAATCAATCAATTGTGATCTCAAGTGCAAATCACAATAGACACAAAAAACACATCATGATTTCTTCCATCTACCTAAGTCTTAGTGAATATAGTTACCCGATGCATGTGCTGGTGGAAGGTAGTAGGTATCTAGTGGAATAATTAAGATGGGCGCAGGCTGTCCTGGACACCTATGGTCGTAAAAAAAAAAATTAATCAATCAATTGCTTCTCAAGTCCAAACCTTTGGGGTTAGCTGTAGCCTGTATGGATCTTCTACCTCCATTCTGTTCTAATAGGGCTCGTTTCATCCCTTTGTTTCATTACTATGCTAGTAATCATTTTATCCTTCGACGTGATTTAGAGTTCTCCAGAAGTAGGGGTTATGTAAATCTCACACTTGTCTTGATGTTGACATAACAGTAACCAGACTGAAAAGACTAATGACAAACACTGAACCTAATGTGATGTGATAACAATAACTAATCTTCAATCTTGTCTCCTTTTGGCTAAGATCAAGTGTAATCTTGTCTAGTCAGTCAAAAATATAAGTAGGCGTTTGGCCATGTTTCATTATGAAAATAGAAAAAAATAGTTTTTGTTTTCAAAGTGAAAATGATATTTGGAAATTGCAAGTGTTTACCATGAAATTAACTGGAGTTGTTTTAAAATTTTTGTGAGTAACTCAGAGTGAAAAAAAGCAGTTTTTTGTTGTTTTTGGAATTTCTGGAAGTTCTTGAAAAAAGAGAAAACAAAATGTTCCAGAATTTTATGGCGAAACATGTTTAAGTGAAAAAATTTCATGGATAAAAGCCCCCTAAAGAGGAGTAAATCTCAAAAGCATACAATTCTGAAGAAAACAAGTAATAGGTATGCTGAGAAGAAAGAGGATAAAGACTTTGAGCAATTCCTTGGTGAAGGAAATGGGAATATGGTGAGTTGCAGAGGGAAGAAAGAGGGTTCAAGGCTCTTTGGTTGAAGGGAAAACGTATGAGGTAAAGAGGGTCTAAGGCTCTTTGTTAAAAGGAGAAGTATGCGGCAGCCACAAAGGAGATTGTAGTGACGTGGACGAAGGAGAATGTAAATAACAAATTATTACATCTAGGAGTGCCTGTGACTCATTACATGGGTTAAGATTATTGTTCTCCTAGTTTTTAGTACTCCCTCTAGTGCAT